TCTGGCTGGCAGTGGCTCTCCACATTATTCTGGCACAGGGACTTTTCATAGCCTATCATCTCATCTTTCTAATTGAAGATGCCAGGGATTGGACTTGGGATCTTCATGCAATACTGGTTTTTATCACTGTATTATGGTTCCACCTAGGAACAGATGCAGAAAGGAAAGAGAGTGCACTGAAATCCTAAACCACTGTGACAGAACAATAGCAAGTCCCAACTAGACATTTACATCTCTTCTGGCTCAGAGTGATCTTCTAATACTGATATTTCCACGTTGATTGAAGTGATGCAATTATTCAGCACTCTTTGGTCCTCTAACAGGTGTCTAGGACTAGTCTTGATCTTTTTTTTGCTGCTGCAGTTAAATGTGGTCAGTTGGTTAAAATCAATACATTAGTTTGAATGGAAATTTTAAATTGAGAGCTCTAAACTTTTGAATTAATATGTAGTATGTAGATTATCTTCTCTCTGTTGCATTCCCGCTATCTTTAGTTCTTATCCTGTTAACCTGGTTTATCCTCCACTGGCACTCAACCCACCCATGGTAAATATACCTACCACCTTCGCAGTTTTCTTTGTTGCATCTGGTGACATGTCTTTTGTCTCAGAATACCTGTGCTGTTTGTTTTCCAAGGCCCCCATTGCACCATTTGCCTTTACTTTGTACATAATCATAAGGGAGCTGTAGAAAGAAGATGGAAAAACATTAAAAGCATCCAACAACAACCTCCCATCTTCCTAATTTTAAAAGGGCATTGCATGGAAGTGTACTCTAGTTTTATAACTTGGGAAGTTTCATGGAATCAGAATCTGGTCTGCAGCCTTGGAAATAGTTGCACTGAGGTTTGAGCAGTGACTGGTAACTTCCATGCCAGTAAGATGGTGAAGCCATTCTGGCTTTTGGTCTAAATTTTAAAGGAGTTATATAGACATCACCAGTTGGTCAACGCAACACCCAAACAGATTACATAATAGATAACAGAAGATGGAGAAACTCCTTTCTTACACATTCAAAGCATCTCATCGGGCCTAGCCTGAAGAACAAGAAGGACCCTTCCTCCATCCACCATCATCTGGAGGGAGAGAAGGCAGGCCATCTCATCGGGCCTAGCCTGAAGAAGAAGGGCCCTCCCTCCAGTCCATCTGCTTTGGTCCAGGCTTTTGAGGGAGAGAAGATCTGATGGACTTATTCCCCTTCCCCACCACCATTCCCTTCTCCTTTTGTGTCTTGTCTTTTTAGATTGTAAGCCTGAGGGCAGGGAACCGTCATTAATCCACTTGTAAGCTGCTCTGATAGCCTTTGGCTGAAGAGCGGGGTATAAATACTTCTTCTTCTTCTTCTTCTTCTTCTTAGCAGTGAGACCAGGGACAGATTGCGGCACAGACCATTAACTACTAATATCCAAAATTAAAATAAAGCTGAAAAAGAGCACCAAAATAACTACTAAGCCAAAATATGATCTAAAGAACATCCAAACAGAATTTAAAGACAATGTGAGAAATAGATTCACGCTGTTAAGCCTAGTTGACTGGGAACCAGAAGAACTATGTACATAAGTCAGGGACATAGACAAAGAGGAATGCAGAAAGATGATACCAGTGACTAAAAAGGAGAAAAAACTGGTTGACGAAATATTTCGAGCAGTAAAGAAAGATGAGAAGCAAAAGGAAAACAGAAACATAATTAGAATCATGAGTGCTGCTGTTCAACGATTAGTGCATAAGGTTAAAAAGAACAACCATAACTATCAATGGAGATAAATAGAAGGCAAAAAAAAGGAAGAACAAGAGACATCTTACACAACATCTGCGAATTCTACAATCAGAAGAGGACCACAACCACAATGAAATTAAAAAAGATGGAAACAATACACAGAAGAGGTATATAAAATGTAAAAGGATAAATAACACATGGAAGAAGAAACTTACGAAAATGAACCCAAATTTTGGAAAGCAAAGTGAAATCCACAGTCAAAGCAGGAAGAACAAATCACCAGGAACAGATGACATATCAGTAGAACTGCTACAATCCACAGAGGCAGAATCAAGCTTAGTTTTTATTAAAATCTGCCAGCAAAACCATGGTGAATATGTAGTACCAAGTGAGGAACATAATACTGAAAGGTATGAGCTGAATTACTGAATTATTCTGACAAGTGCAAAATATACTAGACAGTTTTCCACAGTTTTCCCTATTCTTGTGCATTCCTTTCTTTAACTAGAGAAAACAAAGCAGAGGCCTGCAGACTAGAAGTGATCAATGTATAGTCCCATCTACAAAAAGGGAGACATAAAAGATTGCAGTAATAATAGAACCATCACACTAATTTCCCATGTAAGCAAAGTTATACTCAAAAATCTGCAGCAAAAACTCCTACCATATATGGAATGGAGAGTGAAATCCCAGACATGCAAGCTGGACTCGAGAAAGGAAGAGACACTAGGGATCACATTGCAAACTTACGCTGGATAATGGAGCACTCCAGGGAATTCCAGAAGATCTGCATGTGCTTTATTGGCTACAGCAAATCCTTTGCATAGATCATCAAAAGTATGGAATGCTCTCAAGGAAATGGGAGTCCTAGTATACTTGATTGGCCTGATATGATCTGTATTCAGGACAAGAGGCTGCTGCTACAGCTGATATGGAGAAACAGAATTGTTCCCAAAGGTCAAAGGCATGAGGCAAGACTGCATACTATCACCCTATTTATTCAACCTATGTGAAGTAAATATCAGAGTGGGTTTGGACTCAGAAGCAGGAGGTGTTAAGATAAGAGGAAGGAACATTAACAACCTAAGATATGCAGATGACACAGTACTACGAGCAGAAGAAAACGAAGACCTGGGACAATTACTGAAGAGGTCAGGGAGGAAAGTGTCAAGGTTAGATTAATGCTGAACATTAAAAACAAAAAACAAAAAACACAGAAAAAATAATGACCATGGAAGATCTACAAGAATTCATCCTAGACAATGAGAAAATTGAAATACCTTATTTTCCTGCGTATAAGACTACTTTTTAACCTGCAAAATCTGTGGTTAAAGTGGGGGGTCGTTTTATACGCCGGGTCATCTTATACGCCGGAAAATACGGTAGTCAAAGAGTTTCCATACCTTGGATCAAATAGTCATCAGAACAGATTGCAATCAAGAAATTAAAAGGAGACTACAATTGGGAAGGGCAGCTATGAAAGAACTGGACAAGAAAAACTGTAAAGACTTAACTCTGAACACTAAAGTTAGGATCGTCAAAGCCATTGTATTCCCCATCACCATGTATGGATGTGAGAGCTGGACATCGAAGAAAGCTGATAAGAAGAAAATCAACTCATTTGAGAAGTGGCACTGGAAAAAAGTACTGAGAATACCAGCCAAGAAGACAAACAAATGGGTTCTAGATGAGAACTCTCTCTGAAAGCCAAGATGACTAAACTGAGGCTGTCATACTTTGGCCACTTCATGAGGAAAAATTAATACGGTAATTAGAAAAGACAATGATGCTAAGAAAGGTGGAAGGCAGTAGAAAGAGGAAGACCAGATGCCACATGGTTGGATTCAACCAGAGAGGCCACGGGCCTGGGCCTGGAGGACCTCAGCAGAGAGGTTGAGGACAGCAGGCCTTGGAGATGTTTCATTCACAGGATCACCATGGGTTGAAGTCAACTTGAGGGCATTTAACAACAACAACAGTGCACTGAGTGCTAGTCCCATAATAGATCCAGCACTTTGGATAGCTCCTTTAAAATTCAAACAAAAACTGCAGTGGATTCTCCACATCTCTTGACATGGGAGCTGCCACAAAACAATGCATAGAACTGAGCTGTGCTTTGTATAGTTGGTAGGAAAATCTCCATATTAGTAAGAATTACTTTTGGCACCATTTTCTGCCCTTAACACCACCTACTGCAGAAACAAAATCCAGTTTGGGAGACACTTACCAAATTGGAATTCAGTCCCTGGGCTGAAAAAAAAATCCCTACTACTATATTTGTTTTTGAGAGCAAGCATCATGTAGTAGTTTGAGCATTGGGCTATGATTCTGGAGACCAGGGTTTGAATTCCCACTTACTGGGTGACCTTGTGCAAGTTGCACTCTCTCAGCCTCAGAGGAAGGAAAAAGAAAACCCCATCTGAACAAATCTTGCCAAGAAAGTCTGTGATAGGTTTGTCTTAGCCTTGCCATTAGTCAACCTAGTGAAATCTCAGAACCTGGGAGATGTTAACTAAAGCTGCAATCTCATACATACTAAACTCCCATCAAAGTCAGTGGAGTCTGTATAGGCTATAGGGTTGCACTGTAAGAAGTCTAGGGCAAGCTTCAGAGCCTTGTATAACTTCTGGTCAATACCAGTTGTAGAATAAGTAATGCAAAACAAAAATCCACAAAAGAGTGATATCAACCAAAATGCACAAAACACATAATGCAAGCTTTCAAAGCTCCACCGGCTTCTTCATTAAGTAAAGATATTAAAAACCATATGGGAGAAGAAAAGTAAACAAATGAACAAACGGTCTTAATTTACATTACTCTTTAGGGGACTGTAAAATTCATTATTTCTAAAATAAAATTTGGATTACTGTGGTACAGAGGTATTCTGGGTCTGTTTTAAATACTGTACATTTCTGAGTGGCAAAGCTATCTTCTGTCCATTATTTAGGGTCTTCAGCATGACATTGATGAATCTGAATTTTCTTGCTAAGCACAAATATATACGCACAAACATACAGCCTTGTTCTGAGTTCATCTGGCCCAGTATTGTCTACCCTTGAATGACAACAGTACAAATACTTGAGCAGAGCCCCCCTCCCCCTATTTGGGATGGATACAAGGAATTTGTTGTGTGCCTTGAAGTCCTTTCTGATTTATGGGGACCCTAAGGTGAACATATCATGGGTTTTTTTGGGGGGGGGGCAAGATTGGTTCTGAAAGAGGTTTGCCTTTGCCTTCCTCTGAAGCTGAAAGATTATGATTTGTGTAAACCCAGTGGGTTTCCATAGCTGAGCAGGAATTTGAACCCTGGTCTCCAGAGCCCTAGTCCAATGCTTAAACCACTGCACCGTGCTGGCTGTCATACATGGAAGTACATCTTCAAAAATAACATAGTGGGATTCACTGCCACAGTGTGTAGTGATGGCTGCCAATTTGGACTGCTTTGAAAGGGGATTAGATGAATTCATCGATTATGGGTCCATCAGTGGCTGCTAGTCAGGATGGCTATATATTACCTCCAGTTTTCAGAATCAGCATGCCTCTATCTAGGGCCTAAATACCCTAAAGGCATCATATCCTGTCTGATCTTGGAAGGTAAGCAGGATTAGCCCTGGTTAGTACTTGAATGGGACATTGTCAATGAATACCAGGTGCTGTTGGTTATATTTGAGAGGAAGGAACTGGTAAAACTACCTCTCAGAATTCCTTGTCTAAGAAAACCCTACAAAAAATTCATGGGGTTGCCATAAGTCAACAGGCGACTTGAAGGGGCAGGCACAAACACAATGCTTCTGTGTACTAGTTGCTGTAGGAGTGAAATGGATGCAGTTGCTTGTGTTCTACTGGCAGGATTCCCATATTCAACTATTCAGCTACTGTGTGATCAGAATACTGGATCAGACAGGCCTTTGGTCTGAACCAGCATGGCTTTTCTCATGTTCTTATATAGGTTAAAGCTACAAGATGAGAGACTGCTCCTTCCCTATCCTGTGTGGTGAAGCTGACTGGACTGGTAGTGTAGTTGCACATCAGAACTGGTTGTAAGTGCTCAGTACACCCAAGGGAGCCGAGGGCAATTTGTGCAGCAGAGTAGTTGTGGAGTCCAGATGTAACAGCCAGGAGGCTTCCGCTACTGTCCCCCATCCCTTGCTTCTTTTTACTGTCCCCCATCCCTTGCTTCTGAGGTGACTGCTTCTTTTTATCTGATGGTACGGCTGGCTCTGGTATCATGCCAGTTTTTCAGAGGGATTATGGTAGCCTGTCCTAGCTGGACAATTTAAGATTAATTGATCAATTACTTAACTTGTAAAAAATCCCCAGGTTCAGTCCATTTAAAGGACTACGGATAGTGGATATTACCTAAAGAAATGCTGTCAGTTAAGAGATGCAGCATCAGACTGATATTCCAGTGGCCTGACTTGGTTTAACTAGCCTTTCCCCAGTTGGCTGAGTGTCTGTGCTGATCTGTAGAGTTCGGTATATATCAGACTTTCGTCTCTGTGTGTGTATGTTTGTGTGTGTGTGTGTGTTTAAATAAAAAAGGCCGATGAAATCCCTATGAATTTTGTTTATGGTATTAAGAAGCATGTTATCTCTTGATCCTATGAGTGTTTCCACCCCCACCCTCCCTTGTTTACCGCCTGCTAATTAAATTTTGTAGGTGGCAGTTTGAAATCTTCCTGGGTTGTGTCATGTGACGGCTAATGCCCTTGCAGATCTCTATTACATAACCTCTAAGTAGTGGCATTGGAAGGGAGGGGGCACTGGGGAAGAAGAGGGAATGGCTGAGTGCCATGCTGGGCATGCTAGCAGAAGGCTCCGTCTCAGGCAAGCAACCCAAGTGTCAGTTGTGCAGAGGAAGTCTGCAGAAATATTCTGGATGATTTTTTTTAAAAAAATGCATTTTGTTATACCTTTCATTTTTCATCCCTGATAGCCTTCTCATTACATCCCTTAAAGTCTGCATGACTGCTCTTCCTTGACCAGCCTTTATTTTAAGTACTGCTATTTTATCTTTATTTCCTTAATTTCTTCAGTAAGTATAAATAAATATTCATAAGGTATTGTGTGTATGCAAAGAAATGAAACAACCTTATGATAGAAAATAGTCACCATTTGCAGTCTGTGGTCATGTCACTGTTGACTGTCCAATTTAGAGCTTGGAAAAATTATTCTTAGACTACATCTTCCAGAATCTCCCAGCCCAACACGGCCAGTCTGAACTTCACAGAGATTTTACTTTCTGAGGTTGTGTTGGTGATCTTTAATAAGCAGAAAACTTAACCCACATAAATAAATCCTGTGCTTTCCCTTACTCTTCCATTTTTATTTGCACAAAGATTGTGTTCTCTGTGTTTTGCAAATACTGGATGTGCTGCAATGAGAGCATTCATTCAATCATATATGGTTATGTCAAGGGAACAATTTTTACATAAATTAAGCAGGTGGGGGAGGGAAGGATCAAAAGATAAGCGAGACTTCAATATCTTGATCTTCTGTTATCATTTTCCCCAGAGTTCTTAGTTTTTGATTCCAGGAGGGGTTTTATGGCCTCCTTTTTTTCTGCAGCTCTTCTGATCAGCTGAGTGGCTGCATTTTTATGTATAGATTTTATTGGATTTTAATAGGATCATTAAACAGAAGAGAAACAGAAAAGAGAAAAAAAAAACAAGGAAATACATAGGAAGTGAAGAAGGGCAAAGCAACTCAACTAATTAGCTGGATGGCTGAACAACAGCCTTATATTTGAACTTTGGAAAGAAATATTCACCATCTATTCTTCAACAGTCAGAAGATCTTACTGCTTTAGGGACACGTGAACATATATTCTGTAAAAATCAATGTCAGAACAATGTATTTTTAGAAATATGTTCAGCTTATATCAATAAATATCCTTAACGCTTGTTCATACCTCATGCATTTCTCCATCCCCTTTTTCTTTCTTTTCTTTCCCTTTCATTCTTTTCTGTTTCTTTTCTTCCTAATCATTCCTTAGAAATCCACTTCTGCATCCCTCTCTCTTTCTTTCTCTGGGTAGCTTCATAGAGTGGGCAGCACTTTACCATCATCAGAACCGTGTCCTCAGTCACAGTGTCCACATTCACCAATGGAAATGTTTTTGTTAAACATAATTCACATTTTAAAATTACATGCAGTTTAATTTTTAGCTTTTTACCTTTCCAAAACCTCAATTTGACTACTTTTGAAATGAAGCAAAACTGCTGTATGAGTATCTGTTGAGAAATACATCCTATTGATTTCACTGTGACTACTTCTCAGGTAAATCAACAAAGGATGGCAGTTTGCATAGTTGATCAAACAAATTAATAATTTCACAACTGCAGACCACATGGAAATACTTTGGCTTTTTCTCAGCAGCCTACGTACTAATTGAGACGTGTCCCCCCATTTTTTGCTGGCCCTTTGAAATCCGTTTAAAAAAATACTGGCTTGTTGGTTTCTTTGGTATTTTTTCTTTTTCTTTTTTCTTTTTTGTTACAAAAATATTCAAATGGCTTCTAAATAATTGCGCTTAAGTGGCTTCTCCACCCTGTTGTCACCATTTGTTGGCATACTGTGGCCATGGGTTGGATGCTTCTATTGTTGGCAAGTGTTCCTATTTCCAGGTAATCTTAAATAATGTGTATAATTAAAGTTAATTCTCTCAACCAGATTCACTTGTAATTTCTTTGTTTCTGACTTTGGTGAAGTTTGGCTGGTGACTAACAAATCCTGCCTGCAGCACTAGCATTAGGATGACTGTATCCTATTATATAGATAACAATGTTCTCTAGAAAGCAGCCTAATATGTAAGGGCTTTCTTGCTTGTTTCATTCATTTCTGTCGCCTTTTTCCAAGAAAGGGACGCAAGGCGGCTCACAGATAAAATCGTTTAAAAAATTGCAATAAAAAATTTAAACCAATTAAAATCATCTTGCTAAAAAGAGTGTAAAATGACATGAAGCATACAAAAGTTTAAAAACATATCTAAAGCACACATCCCATATAAAAGCCTCCCATACACGAATCTATATCAAAAGTCTACTTGAATAAAACTGTCTTTGCCGACAGAAGAAAGGAAAGCAGGGAGGGGGCCATCTTAGCCTCCCATGGAAGGGAGTTCCAGAGGAGGGTGGGACCAACCAGTGAGAATGATCTCTCTCTTGTGTTGTCACCAAGTGAGCCTGTGATGGTGGTGAGACTGAGAGAAAGCCTTCTTCCATAGTTCTTAGGACCCTTGCAGGCTCATATGGGGAGATACAGTCTTTCAGATAGCCTGGACCTAACATGTTTCCACAATTGGAGGGGCAACAGCTTCCCCCCATCCCACATTTTTGAGGTGAGCTAGCCATAACCAAGTACATGAAATAAAAGTACCCAATCACCAACTGTTTCCTCAAGCTTATTGACATCAGCTTTCTTAAAATTTAGAGTGCATGCCCAACTAAAATCTGGCTTCTCCTTTCTTGTGTATAACAAATACCAGAAGAATGGGGGTTGCTCCCATGCAAGTATTCTGCTACTTCCACCTTGGGCAGCTCTTTCCTATTGGTTACAATCAAGTCCAACATAGTCAATCTCCTTGTTGCTTCTTCCACCTTCTGGACAAAGATAATCAGCAAGGCAAGTGAGGAAACTATTAGACCTTACATTCTTAATATCATTGATTTCCAGAAAACATCATGGTGGTAGAAGTTTCCCATTGGTACTATATGTTTCCTTATTGAGTCTTGGGTCATATGTTCTAGGAAGACATCATCCAGTACTTCAGTCTGGCTTGGGGTCTATAATCATCCCACAGCAATATCACTGTTGTTTAATTTTTATCCAGATGCTCTCAGCCGGTCTTTTTTTTTTACTTGAAATCATGGATCTCCTCACAAATGAATGAATCTTTGATGTATAACACCACTCTGCTGCCTTTCTTTTTTTGGTTGTTTTTTTCTGAATAGGTTATATCCCTCTATTATTACATTCCAATCATGTCTCACCAGGTTTCACTGATGCCTATTACATTTGCCTTCCTCTGTTAAGAGTTCAGGTTCATCTTGTGTATTTCCCACGCTGTGCGTTAGTGTAGAAATAGCTGAGAAAATGAGTCATTCCCCTTCACTGCTTCCTTTTGGGTTCCCCCCCCCCATGCCCATTGGTGAGACTCCTAGCAACTACGTTCTTACCAACTACTGTGGGATGCAGACCTTTATTTATTTATTTATTTATTTATTTCTGCCATGGGCTCTTACTCATGGTCTAAGAAGCCAAATCTTTTGCAGTGATACCATCTGGGCTGCCAACTGCTCACTTCCAGTATTTTTTTCTCCCATCTTGGGCATGATCTTCAATAGGAAGGGGT